TCTCCCCCTAATGTCTTCCAAGTGGAGACTCTTGGCCCCTGGATATGTCCATCTTTTCTGACCGAAACATCCAATCCTTTAGTGAGCATATGCGAGCGGACGGAGGAGAACGTGCCCACAGGCGGCAGACTCTCCACTAACTCACCCCAAGAATCAAAATAAAATAGAAAAGAAAACAACAAACCAACGGCGCGGCGGTCGAACCCAGCCAGTAGGCTTTCGGGGCTTCGAGTGGCTTGATGGGCTTGCTAGGCAACACAAGCTAACCTGATCCCCGGCGCCCGCGCGCCGCTCACACCCTTCCTACAAACCTCCCACACGCCCCCCTCCCCTCCCTTTGGTCCATGGCTGCTCGAAGCAAGCGCTTGGCTGTCTCCCTCCATCCCCAGACCAGCTGACTTGGTATCTGTTGCCAATGCCAATTCTGTCTATCCCACCCGGCTGGCACGACTTATTTACTATGAAAGGCTGTGGAGGAGAATCCGAGCCAACTCCAACAGAGAGTACGAGGGAGAATAGACATGGGGAGGCAATAAGCCAGGCCAGCTTGGCAAGGCAGCCGTTCACATCCAATGTGGCACAGACCTGACCCGGGGCGAAATGTGAAATGGGGCGAGTCCATCACAGATACACCATCCTTGCGCCCAGACTGGACAGGCCGATGATGTGGGCTCCATCAACCTGGACCTCCCAATTTTAATCACGTCAGGCTCTCGTCGGATCGTAATCAGGGCAGTGAGGCTTAGCGGAGTCCGAGTGGGTTCCCGTTAAGTCATGTATGTCCCTGATGTGTCCGCGGGCCCCCCCCAAGCAAGCTCCTAGTTCCATGTCTTGCCTGCCAATTGCTCCTTTCCCCCAGACTGATCCCCTTCCCGTTGACCTACCCCCGAGAAGCACAAGAGAAGAGAAGCCCGGCCTTCTGTCAACCCGTCTCTTTTGTTGTACACTCCCTCCCCCAGACCTGACCGGCATTCTGATTCCTGTCTGTCAAGTCAGTCCAGGCTCTTGGAAAGTCTGTGTTTTGTGCCACTTGTGCAAAAGCTCCTCCTGTTGGATGACATACCGGTCGATGCTCTTCTGCTACGACTCCTCCTACATGTACTAAGCGGGTCGACTTCTTTTTTTTCCTTCGATCCTAATACTTCTTCCCTTCACATCACCACCCACATTCGTTTTTCCAACCAAAACGTCCGTCCAAGTCTTAAGCTGAACTTGGCAGGAGAGAAAAGAGAAGGGAGAGCGAGACGTGCGGGAACTCACTATCGTTTCTGTTTTACCTGCGACCCAGCCTCTTACACGCACTCAGGCTGTCCCCTTGGCTTCGGCACACACACAACGTTTCCGCCCTAGACACGCTATTCATTCATTCATTCCAACCGTCGGTTGGTCAACACCGCAACCATGATGGGGGGACACGGGAGACCGCAGCAGGGTCAGGAACACCCCGAGGGGGAAATGGTGGAAATTGATGTTCTTCAAGGACATCATCACCCTCATCAAAATCAATATCAGCCGCCGTACCAGAACAACAACCAACAGATGCCGCAAAACCAGCAGTATCAACAACCTCAGTACCAGGAGCAATACCAGGAATACTCTCAAAACCCGTATGGTAGCCCGTACCAGAACGAACCGACCCAATCCCAGGAGCAATTCGGTCGCGCCCTTACGAACAACGCACCTTCGCCGTACCAGCAACAGGAAGGATTCCAGCCGCCGTACAACCAGCAACAGCAGTACCAACAGCCTCACGCTGTCTCTGGGGACGAGCTGTACGGACCTCCGGGTTGGGCAAACCGTCACTCGATAGGCATGGCTGGTGCACCTTCAATCGGTCCCTCGATCTCGGGGATGGACACGCCGGTCGAGTCCCGCTCAGCGACGCCTACGCTGAAGAGCGGCGCGAACACGCCGTTTGACCATCTGGCTGCCCCGAGGCATCCGTGGTCGACCGACTCCACGCCGAACAGCCCCATGGTATGATATTCTCTGAACTTCTCAACGTATTAGTTCAAGGTCCGCTGACAATTTGAGCAGAACCAGAGCCACCAAAGTTTGCAAAACTTGCTCCCGGGACAGGCCTCGCCAGTCCTCGCCAAGGAATGGGTTGAGGGCAGCGACCAGATCGCGAGACTTCACAAGCGCGACGACTCCGACATCTGGGGCGGCTGGAAGCGCCACGTCTTCCGCATGGTTCCTATTCTCACAATCCTCGCTACCGGAATGTACCTCGTCTACCTCGGTCTTCGTATCTACTGCGTCATCTCTGCTCAACAACTCGCCAAGGAAATCTACGCTCAGGCCTGGGTGTTCATCGCCGTCGAAGTTGCTGTTGCGATTCCCTCTATTATGCACAACATCTGGACCATGTGGTCCATGAAGAAGCGCCAGCGTCCTAAGTTGAGACTGATGGGCGAGGATGTTCCCACCGTCGATGTTCTGCTCACTTGCTGCGGTGAAGAGGATGATCTGGTTCTCGACACCGCCCGCGCTGCCTGCGACGTCGACTACCCCCGCGACCGGTTCCGTGTTATCATTTGCGATGACGGCAAATCTGAGGGCTTGGAGAGTGGTATCGCGGCCCTGGCCATGACTTATCCCAATGTCCACTACCTCTGCCGTCCCAAGTATCCCGGTGTTCCTCACCACTTCAAGGCCGGTAACCTGAACTACGCCCTCGACTTCGTCCACACGATGCCCGGCGGCGCTGGTCAGTTCATGGCTGCTCTCGATGCTGATATGGTACGTGGAAACCAGCCCCCCTGCAATTTTAAGCTTCCGCCCGATGTCAACTTCAGCTAACTTTGAACCTGCAGATCCCCGAGCGCGATTGGCTCCGTGCCATTCTGCCTCACATGCTCATTGATCCCAAGGTGGCCCTCGCCTGCCCCCCGCAGCTGTTCTACAACACCCCGCCATCCGATCCCCTCGCGCAGTCCCTCGACTTCTTCGTTCACGTCATTGAGCCCATCAAGGATGCCCTCGGCGTCGCCTGGTGCACCGGCTCCGGCTACTGCGTCCGACGTGAGGCTCTGGATGAGATAGGAAATTTCCCTCTCGGCTCCTTAGCTGAGGATGTTGCTACTTCGACTTTGATGCTTGGAAAGGGCTGGAAGACTGCCTACATCCACGAGCCCCTCCAGTTCGGTACCGTTCCTGAGGACTATGGCGGCCATCTTAAGCAGCGTACCCGCTGGGCTATCGGTACCGTCGACACCTCGTTTAAGCTTAACTTTTGCTTGTACGGCGACAAGGTCAAGCAGATGACGGCCGCGCAGCGCTTCTCTGGATTCCTCTACGCCACGCTCAGTCTGTACACGATTCTCCTGACCCTCTCCATGTTTGCCATCCCGATCATTCTGGTCATGGGCAAGCCCTTGGTCGCCTACGCCAACTACGAGCAGCTCCGCTGGCTCATCCGCGCCTGTTTTGCTGCCACGCTCACCAACCGCCTCTGCGAGTTTGCTCTCTTCATCCCCGCGGGCTACCACACCGGTCAGCGTGGTTCGCGCTACCAGCTCTGGATGTCTCCTTACATCGCGCTCTGCATCATCCGCTCTTTCATTCTCCCCACTTGGCTCGGTGGCCAGACGCAGGCATTCAAGCCCACCGGATCTCTCGGCTCCGCCCTTAACGAGCGCGACCCCAAGACCCGCAAAGGCATGTTCCGCCGTCTGTGGGGTATCCTCTTCAACTACATGGCCATCTTCCACCTGGCGTTCGTCTACCTCACCCTAGTCGGAGTGGTTCTGACCTCTTACCGCTGCTTCTACGTCAACGATGAGCTCCGCGACATCCTGATGTGCCTCATCACGCACGCCTTCTGGCCGCCCCTGACCTTTATCTTCATCTGCAGTTCGCTCTGGACGCCCATCGCCTACGCCATTGACCCCCCGAACATGCCGGACCGCGAGCAGCTCCTCGAGCGCGACCCCAAGACCTTTGTCGCCCACCCGACACCTCAGAGCAAGAAGATTGCCTTTGGCGGCCAGGCTGCGTGGTTCGAGACCGAGTTGACTGTCACCTCGGCTTACACGATCCTCGTCTTCGTGCTCTCCTTCATCTACTAGATTGCTTCAAACCAACTCATAGCATCGTTGTTTTATCACACACATAGGCGCGGGACAGGCGGCGCCTACGGGACGCGCTTGACATTTGCACACGGCACACAATACGCGCGCATCACAGACGTACAAAACCACAGATGACTGTTACGATAATGTAATGCCTGTAACTACTGCACATAGATCAGTATAGAATTACGCAACAATAAGGGGGGCGCTGAATATGTCATCATCTAACCCTGCTGGAAGGGAAACCAGGGTCAACAAACATTATACATATTTCTCATTACGTTCGAGATAAGAATACATAAAAACATTCATAAAACAATTCTCACAGGTTCCAAATGCCTCAAGAACTACGAATACGGAATGCTCAAACCGAATTCGGACTCTTGGCGTAATCAGACATGGGTTTCAGGGACGCTACTTTTTTCCCGCACGAAAGAGAAACATCCCTCGGAAAAAAACACAAGTGTTCAGTTTCCCAGTGAATGGGGCCCGAGCTATCGGCAAGTCCACAATCTGACTGCGTGTGTGCAACCTTGTGCCTGAGCTTGTCGAGCTTTGCCTACCTGTGGCGTGCGGGAAGGCTGGATGCTAAGACAAGCTGCTACTAGCCGAGCATCTTATTCGTCATGGACACCAGTTCGTCGTCGTGCTAAAAGCCCGCGCCTCGTTGAATGTCTCGCTCAAGTCGCTGCAAATAGGTGCGCCATCAGGCTGTCCTACCTAGTCTCTAGTCTCTGGACTCTAGTTTACCCTCAGGAACGCGGGCAAAACGCCGAATCGGCTCGATAGAACGGTGAGGTTCGCTTTTCCGAACGGTGGCCCATCAGTGCCAGCACAGCCCGTCACCCTTCCTTCTGTTCGCAGATGTCTCGCTGACGTTTTCTTGATCGCGGTTGTCGCGCAAGAATTGCTTCACAACAGGGTTGACATGGTCACATTATGTTGCCCTACTACCAGTCTGGAGTCTGTTCTGGGAAACGACCAGCTGCCTGCAGGCCGTTGCTATGTATCATGAGAAGGAAAACAGGCTTGGCTGATGTCGTTCAACGATATGCCCGGCTGCCATGCCATGTAATGGTTGCACCGTATCCGTATCGCTCGTTACAGTCACAGCCGCGGCTCTCATCCGGACGCGAAAGACTCCTCGCCAACGTCGGATTCGGACCTCCCCCTCTCTCACAGATTCACTGTTCACACCAGGCTCCCGAGCCTCCCTCCCTTCCCTCTCCCTTATTACAGGCTTACGTTCGGCTTTGCCGCGCAGTGGGCAGCCGGGTGCCAAGCAGGTGGAGTTCTCCTCCAGCGGTGCAACCCCCTCCCCCAGTGACCGGCACCGTCCCCGACTCCGCGGGCATGAATATTGGATAATGAGACTCAGAATGCGCGAAAAAGCAACAACACGGTGCAGATTGCGGAATAAGCTGACGGCCTGGCATTGCATTCCCCATCTGCCGCTCTCGCTGTTCAATTTAATTGATATGATTCTCCACGTCTCCTTCCCCGACTCCCCCAGTCCACGTCGTCCTCGGTCCCACGACGCAACGTGCGCCCCCAGGTGTCAAGTTCCCGTCACTCTCTGCCTTGTCCGACCGCCTCCTCCTTTCATCCTCCACAAAATCTTCTCTTGTCTTTCTGCTGTGCCTCGCCAACCGAGTCACCGACTGCAAGCCTTGGTACCTTGGACTTCGCGAGTCTTGAAAGAGGTCCAGCCAGGATTGCCGCCAAGACACAAGTGCCAAGTATTTTCAGACGAACGATGGCCAAGGAAATTGACTTTTGTTAGACCGCAAAGAGGCACCCACCAAACCTGATGTTGCCCGCCAACGGCGCGAAGGGGGGTGTGGGAGCAGATGAGCCCGCCGGGCGCCACCCCTGAATCGTTAAGGTTTTCCAGGGGCCTCCACACAGGTTTTTCGTCCGTCACGTCTTGAGCTGTCAGTTGCCACTATGGCCAGCCGTTGCTGCCTTTGTTTTAATACCTGCTGCGTGCGTACAATGGCGTGTGCCTACAGCAAAAGCAGATGCTCCCGCGCTTCTGTTCTCGGTGAACTTGCGAACCTTTGGTTTCGATCGTTCGGAAGTGGAAAACGAGGATAGTCTAATTTTAGGCCAGTGAATAGGTAGGCAGGACACAGATGTGTTTGTCGCACCACGCGGGCAGCCATCCCCGGATCAATGACTGGTGTTGAAATGGCCCTAGGTAATCACTTTGTCGATCACATGTCATCCAACTCCTCACATCTTATCCAACCGTTGCTGACGAGATTGCTTTTATCAATGCTCGTCTCATCCAGAGTGGCATCAAATGAGCTTATCCAGAAGCAAAATCTCACCGACTGAACGGTTTGCCGATCTCTGGAGCCGCAATCATAAATCCCCGTCCTGATTGTCCACGCGTTCAATGGGCCAGGGAGCCGTAGATGCCGTGTGAGCCTGGGAGGGGACTGTCTCCATCGTGCCGATCCGGCAGCGTCGGACCCCGGACGCCGGGGCAACAATTCTCTCCGGACCAACGACGATCCAATGATGTGAAGTCTCCGGCACGGCAGCCCACGTCGCAGCCCGTGTGCGGGTTGTGGGGAGACGTGCGGATAATATCGATCCCATACCCCCGCTCTTGTTAGACTATTCAAATCATGTAGTCAGTTCGGAGATCAGGACATGTACTCTCAAGCGAATGAGTTGTATTTGTGTTCCCTACAGCCTGTCTGTAACCTGCACTTCAAGGAATCCGGTGAGTTGAAAGGTCCATGCCAATAGTAATGCCTCTTACAGTTGACTTAGCTCAGCACACTGACCGAGCCTGATGTCACATGAAGTCAGAGGTATCCTGTCCCGAGTCGCTTGTTGCTGAGGCCCAAAGGGAACATGTAGCCCCATTAATCTTTAGAATCTATGAGACAGACAAGGCTAGGGTATTTCGAAGTGAATAAACTTTGTTGATGTCAACTTTTTTTGAGCATAAAACTCAGATCACCTTTCCAATGACTGCTCTACCTGTACTAACATGAAGTCTAGTCTGGGCTTGTATTGCATGATGTTTCGTCCCTTACGAAGTTACAGCGTTGTGTAACGCCTTATCTACGATTCTCTGAAACCGCCGGGTTCGACATGTCAGTCTAAAGAAGCAGGTGCCTCCGGCGGTGTAAAGTCTACCGCGTCACCTTCAAACAACAGAGAGTTGCCGTTGTTCCATTCCCAAGGCAAAGATTCGGCTGACTCATGAGCTCCAGGAATCGCGCTAAAGTTGGTTGTGCCTGAAGTTGCTCCAAAAACTTCCTCCGAATGATTTTGTTTACAGATATCTAGGGTAGGTGGAGGGCCCCAGCCTGTGTTGGTAAATTGCTCAGTAGGAGTGGGCAAGTTTTCGAGTTCATCGTCCAGCCCTGTGATACCTTGCGGTATTGAGTTGTCTGAGTTTTGCAGATCTCTTGAGCCCGAGTGGCTTGCGGAGAGCGAAGACTGATTTGGACTTCGGGAGGATGTGTTATTCTGTGGTCCCATAACGATCCCGCTATCCGGTAAAGAGGCAGTGGGTGTTCTCGACCTTCCCACTAGACGAGTATTGTCACGGTATATGTTGGAATGAGAATGTCTTTGGTTCGCTCCTCCTCGCACCATGGTTCGGCTTGAAATCCATTCTTGTTGCATCACATAGAAGGCCTCGTTCACAACTCTTCGAACATGTTGCGACTCCTCTTCAGTTGTGACGCCGGGCAGTAACCCCGCGGTCTCCAAAGCCCGATGTACGGCTGGTGCGGCATGAATAGTCAAGTGTTCTTGGAACGCCAGAAGTTCTTCGCAAAAATCAAGGGTTCATATACGCTGATCGTGGTCTCGTCTTTCCAGGAAATAAGACTTCCCATATAGCAAACCACTGAGCCTCATCAATGAGACCCGGATCCGATTTTCGATGCAGCCTTTTGCTTTGATCGTGAGATCTACCATCCAGCGTGTTCGTTTCGCTCAGAGAACAAACCCAACCTCGCACATCTGACACATGTGCATGGTGGCTATCCTCGTTAGGGAAGGCCTCGAAGCAGCGTTGGTAGTAGTGTTCCGGGGTATGGGCTCTCTTTAGATGTTATTTGACGTCTCGTATTCTTGTAAGTCTACGTGGAGCACAAACATGGTGTCTGTTTGAGTCCAGCTTCCAAAACGGGCATGCCAACGTCAGCTGTGGTTTCCGGATCTCTTTAGACGAGTCCGATGTTTTGTTCGGCTCTCGACTCGACTTCAGTTCGCTCTCAGCTTTGCGTTTTCCCTTGCCTGCGCAGGTAGGGGTCAGATTCCCGCCTTCCCCTTGTGCTGCAGCTGATGCCGAGGTAGAAGAAGAGTTACCAGTCGATGCCGCCCCTCCGCGAGTGTGATTTCGAGTCAGATACTGGTGGAACAGGTCATGAGCAGCAATACTAATGAGAGGCCGTATTGGATTCTCATTATCCAGAGGCTGGAAGTCGAGTTCATCTGACTCGTCTGAGATTGGAAGAAGATCCGTGTCCAATGAACCTGTTAAATCAGCAGTGTCGTTGTTGCAAGCTTCAGAGACATCATCCATAAGGTGTCGAGGATCAGAATTGCTGGGCTTTTCTTTCATGCTCGGACACCCAGCTGAATTTCCAACTGTACACAGGATTGGCCGTGGTAGACAAGAGAAGTAGTTGCTAAAACCCGGAGTTTTCATCTCAGTCTCTAATGGATGATCTGCATGATCAGCTTCACCTCCAATGCCCGGAGGCAACAAGTCTCAAAAAGCAACTGAGGCATAAAAGATTCGGCTCGAAGAGACTTACCTGTTTTCTTCGGTCGTTCTTCACATCTGCCAAGAATATGGCGACCAGATCGATACATTTCGGGTTCAGAGGGCCTCAATTCTGAATCTTTATCCACGCAACCATCCCGAAGAGAGTCGGAAGTACTGCTCTTGCAGATTACCTCCTGCCAGAGGTAAACACCCCTTCAGACTATTCGATGAGGGCGATACTATTCAAGTAACCTCTTAAAACTACCTTGCCTGCTTCTCTCAGAACACAGTACTCTCCCAGAAGCTCTTGAATCGTTTTCCATGGGACTTCTAACCCTGGAAACTTCTCCGGGCGACCTAGAATGGGAAAACCTCGAACCACCACGAGGTTTCTCTACAGTACCTCCGTCCACTGTGAAGCCTGCAACGGAAACGACTCGAGCTTTTCTTCCTGCACAACGATGTCAAAGCAAGGAATTTCTCCATCAAGACTTCTTACAGAATCCGGCACTTGCTAAGGCCGCGCTAGGGTGATACATGGCTTGCGGCAGATAGCAGGGCTATTTTGTGTCGAGTAGGTAGTCGCAGCTGAGAGCCACGCAAGTTGCTCCCCACAATCGAGCAATCAAGTACCGAGATCCTTCCACTGTGACGGCCAGGTGACGACCTTCAATGGAGGCCATGATGTGCGGACTTCCTAGGAGGCTAACTAAGGCACATGAATGGTCAGTTCCTTTGTTTTACGATGATGAGAAAGTTGCGCACCGACTTGCGATTCATTGAACCATGGTTCCCCAAGATTCACTGCATAGAAATTCAGTATGTCAAAGATGTGACGCCAGCTCGACAGCCATGTCTGATCCATGTACTCTCGTATTGCGGTACATTGACTCTCATCGATGCAGTATACCAGAACCTTGAGCTCGAATGCTGCTTGCATCGAGGCCCTCTGCTGTCGCTGTAGCACGCGTAATAAATTGCCATCCCTGAATGTGGGCCAGTTGAGAAGTCGGAACTTGGCTTTTTGGGTCTTTGGTGGCCGTTTTTTGCTAATCGTGCGAGTCGAAAGGTTCTTGAGAATGACACGCCGAATTTCCTTTTGTACGCAAGGCGCACCTTCGTTGAACCGCAATGACAAATCGGTTTCCAAGTGCCTTAGTCGCTGATTAAAAGCATCGCTTTTCAACACAACCTTATGATATGCTCTAGTTTCCCAAGGCTCCGTTTCGTCCTCTTCAACGTCCTTCACGCCTTGAAACTGGTCATTTTGTGGCGGAGTAGAGGGATCGAAGTCTCGTATGCCCGCCCAAAGGTTCATCTTCTCCATCACTGACATGTTGTCTGGATTTTCTGTGGTCTTAAAATCTGGGCTGATCTTATCATGCGCAAAAGGATTTGAAGCCAAGCTCTGAAATTGAAGTCGGATGTCCCTGTCCGAGACGGTTCATTCCCCTTCAAACTACCACCTTCTCCGTTGATTACTCACTGCCTGTGCCTGTGTACGAAGTACATGATATCCCTGTTGATCTGGTTTGGAGATTCGAGACCGATTTGAATTGCAAAAGCTTTGATAGTATCCGGGATCGTTGAGATCAGAGACTGCCAGCCCCTGACTTCACTATGGTGGCGTAGTCCGACATGTATCTCTTTGGCAAGCTCAAGTATGTGCTGTTGCGCTTGCTCTGTGGCGGCAAGGCTTGCTTCTGAATAACTGATTGCTCCATCTATATTATCAATAGCGACGGGAAAGGACCCCAAAGTCTTTGTTTCTGTGTTTTTCGACTCATAGCCCGAGTCAGTGGGTGGAGTGTATAGACTGCTGAGTTTAGGCTTCGGGTCTGAAGGAGGGGATTTCGATTCATGAGCCGAATTAGTTAGCGGAGACTGAAGGCTGCCGAAGGACCCCGAGTCCTTGTACTTTTGCTGATATGCCGAAGGAAGCAAGGTATACCAGGTTTCATCCTCAAAATCATTCGTTACATTATTCCTACCTGGCTGTGGCAACGAAGGCCATTCTGATAACACTGGTTCGATGAGCCTGCTCATGTCCATAAAAGGGGAATTCTGAAAGCGGGCGTACTGAGACGCAGAGTCAAATTCGATATTTGTACCAGTAGCAGGAACTACCAGTTTGTCAAGGTCGGCTGACTCGGTAACATTATCTTGATTCATGTTCCATGAGAACATCACACCGTCCATACACAACTCAGATTGGGGCCCAGATGGATGCTCGGTGAGGCATGCCCCCCATTTATTTAACTGAAGTTGGACGTCTGCGACCCTGGTTTGGGTGTTACTCAAGGTGATCAGAACAGTCGCATGCCTCTCCAAGCCTTCTGTGTCTCGCACAGCGCCCTAGGGTCGACGTTGCCAAAAGACATCATATGCGAGAAAATGACGTACATACACTTTCCTTATCTGGAAAATAGTGCAACAGGGAGAAAGAATAAGTCTAAACTCACGTCACATGAAGTTTGCGAGTCAAAAGAAATTCTCTGACTTTCTCCACGGATTTTTCATCTTGATAAACGATCAAGATGGGTTGTTTGTACAAGTCGAGGTCGTCCTGGGTTGCGTGTCGCAAACAGTTGTACCTAGCCTCCCATTTTGGCCTCAAATAGTAAACACGACTGACATGGCTTTGAGACTCCATCATACTAGACTTATGTGCAGGTCTTGTCGGTAATTCTGGTCTAGCTCCAGTCCTATCTGAAGGAAGGCGCACGCATCCCGGCCTCTCTATGTTTTCGTTACGTCTCAATTCCGCTGGCGTCTTTGCAAAAGATGCAGGTAATGACATTGAACTTTCCATAACGTCTTCCATGTCCTGCAGCGCCTTGGATTTGATGTCGTCATCCGATCTGAAGCCGACTTGTTGAACACCATCGGAAATATACGTGGGATTTGGCGGGGGCAAGTATGGGGGGGAACCGACTGAATCCATGGAAGCGTAGGAAGCGTTGCCTGATGGTGAACTAGGAGATATATTGCTTTCAGCGGACACGATCAATCGATCGAAGCTGATGGGCTTAGACGGCGGTTCCAGAAATGAGTCGCCTCTGACAGAAATCTCCCCATGCTGGAGACATGGTATCGATACGGATGGAAGAAGAATGAAGAGAGTCCGGCCAAGTAGTCAAACCAGGTCAGAAAGTCAGCGTTGCAAGATCAGGCTGTGATACAATGAAGGCACAGCTGTGCTTTCGTGTCCTATTGGTCAGCGGACCGCCAATCAGACAGAGGAAGCAAGCACCCAATAATTTGTGAAAGCACAACTGAGGTTTCGTCATTATACATGTTTCCTGTGGTCTCGCGGACTCCGATCAGTCCAGCCGATGTTGAACTATTGCCAAATGGGACTAAGTGCGACCTCTGTGTTTTGAGGCGATCGGTGTGGTTCCTGGATATATTTCCCTGCCTGCTCACGAGCACATGAACTGATGTAGATATTCATGGAGTTGAAGTTCAAGTTTCTTGATATCAATATAGTTTGTGCTAATGAATGAACAGTAGATGTAACTACCGATAGCAAAAGCAGTTACTGCTGGGCATGATCATTAGATTTGATATTACCTTGTATGAATACTTGAAGAACGCAAATTTTCAAAAATTCCATAGATAAAGAGACTGATTCATCTTCCTCAGTGTGAAGCCCTCGTGATCGGGCATCTCTCGTCGACCAGGTCTATTGCACAAGATCTATGAAGAGTATGAAACTCGACTGGAAATCACTCGCTAATACAATTACACAATGTCTCAACAATCGGCAAACTTCAGGCTTGCTCTTAAAGACGAGGGGTTAGTCTGAAAGTCTTGCATCAATACTGTGGCTCAACTTCTCAAGCTGACACTATCAGAAAGTGCTGCAGGCCCGTCTTCTATGCTTGAGCATTACTTTAAAAGCTCTCCAACAATCACGGAGAAGCTTCAAATTAACTCCAAAAAGAGCGGCTGTGAGATAAAGGCGCTAAAGATCAAGGAGACGAAGGAGTATCTTGGCGACTGGCAAAACTCTTGGGACAAGATGGCTGCGTCAAAGGAATAAGTAACGTAAGTTGAATTATATCATTCATGTTAGCCTCTTGTTCAATTATTGATAGACACTTACTCGATACAGATAATTCAACGAGGGAACGAAAATTTCAAGGTTTATCCTGGCAATATGAATGGCATTGGTACACCCCGATGCGAGCAGAGAAGTTCAATTATTGCAGTTGACGTGGGACATTGCAATATCATCATTGCACTCACGATAGTCCAGAGTCTGAGTACAATCAAACGTGGTCTTCTAATCAGTCATAATTGCCAATTGATTCACGACTTGACTCTAAATCATGTTGCTTGTGTGCGATGACCTTACCCCCTCTCTCTCAAAGTTTCGACTTCAGGACAGGTCCATTTGGGACGGAAGATCGTCAGGGGACTTCCTTTCCCCGATTCGCTCGTAGTCTGTGGGGTAAAAAGATCCGATCGATGATGACCCGATGACATCTCTTTTGCTAGTCCGAGCGCCGGCTCGCCCCCTTACCCCTTGATGAGATGTGAGAGTCATGAAGATATATGCATTTGGTTACTCCAGCAGCCTAATCTAGTAATAATCAAAGCCCAAACGTGAAACAATTCAATGGTGAATAGAGTTATTACATATTAGAGGAGACCGCGGTTCGTCCCGACTCCAAATGTCATGTTTAGACTTCAGACCAACCCCCCATGCCAAAGCACCTTAGCTCGACCGTTACACATTTCAACGCCCTGCCTTACCCCATAGATCGTCGAAACCGTGGCTTTTCGCTCTCTAACCCAGAGAAGTCCAAAAATTACCAGTGCGGGCATTTCTTATTTCACGCCAGAATAAAGCCATCATAGACATTTACGCCAATGATGTCATCATCACCGCATCATTGGGGACTCTGTTCGTTCTCCCTCGCAGCATCCACGAGAATTCGACAAAACCTCTGCACTTCGCATCTCCCAAGTGAATCGATTGGGTTTCCAACGCAAAAGCAAAGTTCTCCGACACTACCAGGATCTATCCCAGCGTTGAGAGCTACCCAAGTACTACGTTTCACACCCTTCGTGCACCATCTTCACTACCACCGAACATACACCACAACCTCCCACCCACTTCCCAAAATGAAGAAACCCGAAATCACCGAAACCAAACCAACCACAAACTCCAAAGACGAACACTGGAAAACCCAAGCTCCCTACATCGCCCCAGGCAAATCCCATCCGCACGGCGACGCCTTCCACAAGAAAATCCGCGGCGCCTGCCAATGCGGCCAAGTAACCTACTGGCTCTCCAAAGACGAGCCCCTGGCCTCGAAGTTTTGCCACTGCAGGGACTGCCAAAAGATGCACGGCGCGCCCTTCCAGTGGGCCGCCATCTTCCACAAGGAAGATCTGGCGTTCGATAACGGCGTCGACGGGCTGGCGTTCTACTCGTCGGGGAAGAATCTACAGGGCCATGATTTGCCGTGTAAAGTAAGTTGCGGGTTTTGTGGGAGTCGGATTATGGATGAGGGGAGGAACATGGTCTTGTTGTTTCCTGGGTTACTGCATTTTGATGGGGAGGAGAAGAGGAAGAAGTTCGATGTTCAGTAAGTTCCCTTTGTCTCCATGGGCCCACTTGCTGTGATGCTAACTGTTGCGTAGGAAGCATATCTTTTACGGTCAAAGGGTTGTTGACCTCCCGGATGGCAAGCCGAAGTGGAGCGGCCTGGATGAGAAGAGCGAATTGATGGAGGAAGAGATTGTGGATGTAAAGCACAAGAAGCGGAAGATGGAAAATAGCAATGGCGACTAATACGTCGAACCTCTAGATGTAATGCATTTGTGTAATATAAAATCAGTAAACCCCAACGCTTGACGCCGTCTTATGCTCGTGGTAACGCTCTACATCCATAATTCCAATTTAAATAGTCTCAAAATCGCTTACCAGTTGAAACTCTCTTGGAAGTAGTCGACTCTTGACCACCCACGTCCAAGCATTTCAACAACCGACCTTCGAGCATCATCGGCCATGACAGCGGGTCCGCATGCTACAACAGCGAGACTTGCCTTGTCAGCTGCGATAGCCGCATCCTGCACCTCCTCGCGAACTTCAGGACGCCCGTGAAGCAAGCGCACCTGCTCGGGCCACTCCTCCGGCCGCGCAGCATTCGATTCGAGGCTGTGTTGCGTAATGTAGATATCGACAGACAGCTTCCCACCCTCAAAGGCGTCTTCAAAGTCGTGGCGCAGCACGTCCACTGCGAAACTGAGTTCGCGAACGGCCCACACGATCTTGATTGACCGTGTCTTTGATGATGCCTTGGTGAGTTCGGCGAGATGGGCGAGCGGTACTACAACACCACTGCCTCCCACGATGAAAAGGAGGTCGTCAAACTGGTTGAAGGGCTGCTTGTGTCCGTAGGGTCCTTCGACGAGGACGCGTAGGCGTGCAGGGCGAGGCCATTGCGCTGCTGCGTCTTCCCGCAAACGGCCGGTGAAGCTATCATAGGGACGGATGAGGAACGTCATGGATGGTTCGCCCCTTCTAGGCTCGTACCCAACCTCTGAAATGGGTTCCACATCGTGTTCTCCCGCCACGAGCAGGGGAGTCTGCTCGCTGGATGACTTCCTTCTAACATTCATGTTTGTCGTCGTGCAAGCCATGGTGAATGGATGGCTTTCCCAAAATCGCTTGTCGCTGAGAACGTGAAGGTAGTAGTAGGTACCAGCTTTGGGCTCGTAGAAGCTAGTAGAGTATGGAACGTTGATGCGGATGATGTTGGAGTTAGCGTCGTATGTGGCGAGAGCAAATGTATTCCAAAACTTGAGGTTGAAAGATAGTGTCCGCGACATGCGTAGAATACGATCGCCGATCCAGATGAGGCTAGGTACCCAGAAGAGGATGTCGAATTGGCCCAGGAAAATAGAAACGTGGCTAGAGTCGATGAGTACTGGGAAGTCAGGAAGACACAAAGGGTTGAAACCTACCCAAGCATGGTTATGAGGACAAGAATCGATAGTAAGATGTGGAGAATGAGGAAGAGCTCGTATTGCTTTCGTCGCATCCAAAAGACAGACGCAAAGAGCAGGGCGCACATGCCAACGGTAGCCTGTATCGGAGGTCAGCACATGCTACTGAAAGCACAACAGGGCAGTACTCACAAACCATCCTTCAATCCACCACATCTGGTGCCAATATGACATCCAGTAGTTCCAATCGCCATCTGTTGCAGGTTAGAGTTGAGCGTCAAAAGAGGAGGTGTGCTTCCTACCATCAAAGACCAGAACAACGTAGCCGACGGAGTGGACGACAGCCTGAAGCGTCGAAACGCGGGCAACCCAACGGTGGAAATTGTTGTATGTCCCAAAGTCCCACCCAGTCAACCACATGAGGAGGTTATTCCTCATGCCAAAGAGCCAGATGATGGGGAAGTTGGCGAACGATATGATGCCGGTTCTATCAGCTACGTAACGCCAAACCAAGTGGTACTTTTGCGGCCAACTGTGGAGACGTAAGCTACGAGGTCACGGCTATGAGTAGAGCAAGCTACACTTACTACATGTGGCCCTCGAAGATCCAATACCCATAGACACAGAAGAAGACGTTCGCGGCAATGAAGGTCAATATGGTGAGACTCTGGATGCGTGGCGGGATGGTGCACCAGCCGAGGTTCTGGGAACAGCGGTAGCCGAAGGTTGCGGGAACGGTGATGTATCGCTTGAGCCAGAGGGCAGTCCAATGGAGGATGCTGGGCGACTTTCGTGAATCCCATTCCTGCTTTTGAAGGTTTCCGATGGCTGCAACGAGGCGAGACCCCAGACCGATGGCGACTACGATGAACCAGAAGACGATCACGTAAAAGCTGAGCATGTGATATTAGCGACCACAACCGAAGCATAACTGAAGTTGAGTGCACGTACCCATATCTATAATGATTACCATATGTATACTCGACGGATTCCTATGGGTTGTCAATTGAGTGCTGGTCCGAAGGGATACTTGGGTGCCGTACGAGAGAGTCGAACCAGATTTGATAGTAGGCATCCGCGGGCAGTACCACCTCGTTCAGCACAGTCGACGCGTTTGACCCCTCCGCCTTAGTCAACCTCCGCAAGCCAGCAATCTCCTCATCGGAATAGCCGGCGACAATCTCAAAGGGCGGCAGCGAGGTGTTCATGTAGGCCTGGCAGGTGTGGTTGACGTTGCTCAGGCCAGCGACACGGTGCGTCAAGTCGCAGTGCAGGTCGGCGCAGAGGTAGAGCGACTTGATGTGCAGCTGGCTCACGCACTGCGGGATGAGCTTCGACCTAGAGGGCAAGCTCCCATTGTAGGACTGGGTGTCGTTGAACTGCGGCTGGCGAAGAGTGTTGGAGCACGAGTCGAAGCAGACACCGCCGCTGCCTGCGAGAGCCGAGGCCGAGGCGACGAAGAGGCACAGTGCGGCGATGAGGGTGGGCGGCAATAGCCGGAGCCCCGACGACGGAGCGCGCATATTCACGGCCGAGTTGCGGGTGTTTGCATCGATGAAGCAAGCCGACCGTGGAGTGCGCGGTATTCCGATGCGCAGGTCCCCAGGACGATCGAAATGATGCCGTTGAAATGCCGTCGAGGGGTGAGGTTGCGGAAGAGGCAAAAGTTGAGGTTCCCGGGGCGGGGAGACCTCAGGACAAAAAAAAAGTATGGCGGAATTCGCTGGGTGCAGAAAGTGCGCTCGGGGCAGGTGGCAGGAGGTGGGAGAATTTGATCTTATCAGATCATCTGATTAAGCAATCGCCCCCACTTTACTAGCTTAGGTTATCGCGATAATCCACCGGCATCGGCTCGCCGCGGCTACAGCGTCGCACTTTTCAGTTCTCGCAGACGAATGCCCCGCCAAAATCCCCGTCACTCGGCAACTTTGCCGTCATACAACAGTCCAACTTACTTGGATCATCCAAGTCATGCTCTTTGTCTGCTCTCTGAGTGCACGCCGCGACTTCCCTTCGTGCATGTCTTGATTTGCCCTTGGTGCTTGGCGTGTCCACCTGATGCTGCCCATGCTGCGTTGATGTCTCACCAGCGGATCCCTCGCGTACATCCCGCCGGCTCCGCTGCTTTTGGGCCACATTGCGGGAAAACCTTGGCAAAGGCTTCTTCTTTTTGTACACCAAACGTCGAGATCATATCCAAACTAAAGCAGCGATGGAGGGGACCGTCCTATCCTATAGACCCACCAATCTCAGACCACTTCGCCGGGCTTCAAGGAACGTCCCTTTTTCCCTTCCGCTCCCCGGTGACACATCACCGCCCGGGCCGCCGGAATCGCAACGGCTCGAACGTTCATCCCAACAATCATGTCCAGTCTCTCTGACTCACGCTGCGTCCATCCCACAAACTAGACGAGTCTAGGTTACGAATCTAGTCACAATGTGCACAGCGCTATAGTCCGAGTAGCCCTTTTCATTGCACTTGTGCGCGTGGTGGAATACTGGTGTATTTGATCTATTCAATAGCTACGATATCAGATGACTACTGAACTACCTATTTCCCCTCACTGCCCAACTTCATCTCACTGCTCTCCTTAACCTCGCTGTCCTCCATCATCACGATGTCGTCCTTCATCTCACTTTTCTTCTTCACCTCACTACTGTCCTCCATGTGACTGTCCTCCTTCACCTCCTTCACCCCCTCAACTTCGCTGCTCTCCTTAACCTCGCTGTTCTTCTCGACTTCGCTGCTCTTCTCGATTTCGCTGTTCTTCTCAACCTCGCTACTTCCCTTAAGCTCACTAGCATCCGGGCCCAACGAGAGGATCGTGTCCCAGGCTGCTTGTAGTCTCGCAGTCACTTCACCCGTCTGCCCCCCAGCATCCAGGATACCTCGAAGTGTTTCCGTCCAGCGACTCCATCTGCCGAGACCCCACCTCTCCGTCCCCGACTTCTTCATGTCCTCATAGATAATCTTTCCGGCATGAATCAACCAATTGGACGCCACTAACAGTCTACATTCGCCGAGTTTCCCGGAAGGCAGGGGCTTTTCAAGCGCGAGCTCAATATCGATGCTCGGATACTTCATGTGGCTATCCCATCTCTGGTATGCTTTGGAGCCATGATACCGGGCCAAGAATGAGGAGAAGTTGACCCACTCATCACAAGTCAGTATAAAATCCTTCTTTGCTTGAGGTTCCGTCGGTTCAGCTCGATCGGATGCTTGTCGTAATAGTGAGTAAGATGTTACATATGAAGTAGGTTGGTTTGACTTACCAAATTTGGCATTCCAGTTCTCTTCACACCCTGAGACAAAGACTTGGTCATTGTGGTACGCAATATGCTCTTTCTGTAAGAGCTGTAAGCAACAAAGTCGATGGGGGGAAAAGATAGATGGAAGTAGAGACGTACACCGTAGGCCCGATATGTCACCTTGGGCAGATTCTGTAAGTCAGTCAAGAGCTTCACTAAGCAGTCTTGTCGAGCGTCGTCATAACGCAGAAGCCACGATTGGCGGAGGATCGTGCCGTAAACGCCATCGAGGTACATGGGCCAGCCTTTGTCGTCCCTCATATAAGGCTTGTTCAGAGGATCCCAGCTCGAAGGGAGAAACTTGGCCCAGTAATCAGCTCCTATGCGGAGTGAAGCTTCAAGAGTGGCCAGGTACTGCTTTTCAGGAAATGAGAGGAGCATTTTGAGAACGATGGAAGCGATTTCCGTTTCTTGCTCATCTCCCCAACTCTCCAGCTCGGCAATTTGCTCTTCGAGCTCAGCTCTCCACGGTTCGGCAGGAGATGCTGCATGGGGTTCTGTGCTACCGATTGACATGGTGCTATCTTCGGGCTGACGAGGATTGAGAAACTCGGAAGATTTCAAGGTAGGTATTTATGGTTGTTGTGAGATGATTTAATGAAGTGATTGAAGCCTAGAGAAGTGGCTTAGAAAGAGTGCTTCGGGGGAGTGATTTGATGAAGTGATTTTAATGGTGTTGGACTTGTGAAGAATTGAACAGTTGGGTCATGAGGGCAGCGGGTGGTTAATAAGGCAGATGAGGCAGGAGGCAACCTGGGGGGCTGTGAGTTGATGAGGAGAAGGCAGGTTTCCATGTTGGAGAGGTCTTCTCCTCACGTGGCCAGGGTCGCAAGTGGTCACGCATATTAAGCGCCGACCGTTGCACAGCCCACCAAGCGAGCGCATCGCCGAACCACCGTGCCGGTACCGCGGCGACCTCACAGCCAGGGGCCCGAAACCTACCGGGTCACCGAACACACCGGCCGAACCAACACGAAATGTAAATTGACGAATTATCATTGGATCTTCAGCGATTTCCTGCTTCTTTGGCGGCAATGTTGGAAGCAAGACTTTTCTCTTTTGGTGCTTCCAAGTTTCAGTCGATTAATCGTTCGATGTTGGAAGGGGACACTTTCAGTTCTCGGCCCAACCAACACGTTGTCGCTAATTATAGTAAGCGCTGCGGTCCCTCAAGAACAACGATCGAGAGACAAAATTTCGAGAGACCAGAAATGTGAGCTGTGCTCTACCTACTTAAGAGGAATCAAAATGCGTAGTTTTGCGTTCTTCTTGTAACTGTTCAGAGCATCCACATCCTGGAGAAGTGGTCATTTTCTTTTTCCAATTGAGTTCAATCATCACATTGATCGCGATCTTTGATTTCCGTCGCATCATTTCACTGTCTGAAGTCTCACCTGAGTATCTTCCATTACACCGGACCCCACGAATCGACAAGATGGGCAACAAGCAATCTACGCCGCAGAGACGCAACACGGACAACACCGAAAAGCATCTTGTGAGTATTGTCTCCTGTTGCTAATAGCACAACTCGTCGGATTGCATGCAAGATATGAATTCTACACTCTGTCTTGAGCGCAAGTCGGCGAACGACAACACGACCAGAACTTGATTAGCTGACTTTCCGATCCCAAACAGCAATACCATACAGTCCACGGTCCCGTTTCCGCACACGATGTAGCGAAGCATCTTGAGACTGTGCCCCCGCCTCACACACGCACTCCATCCAACTTTCCTCACGACTTCCGTGGCAGAGAGGGGCCGGTGAACAACGAAACCAAGACCTTTGATGACTACGTCACAGGTCCAGGTCGATCTCAAGGGCCTACTGGCCCCATGCAAGAATACGCCATCCCACAACCTGGCGAGCAATTCAATTTTCAATTCGACCGCCGCTGCCTGAATGCGCGCCAGGCAGGCCGAGTAGTTCATCCGAATGAACGAGCAAACGTAATGGGACCTGCCAACGGCCGGCCGGGGAACGATCCCATGCAAACCCGAGCTGCGGTTCGCGTGGCCCAAGTGAACGGCGATGAGAAGATCGCTGTTGTTGGTGTCGTGGCTCATCCGAATGGAAACCGAACGGGGCTTGTGCGAGCACCCCTTGAGCCTCTCAGCCGTGAGGGTCGGCAGGAGTTGACGAGGCACACTGATGAGCGCGGTCGCATGCAGACGTACCCACCCCGTGGTATAGACGCCAAAGTCTATGAAACTGCAGAGACAAGGTCTGGAAGGGTGCGCCCGCCCGCTCACCCGCAAATGAGGGTGTGATAGAGTCGTTATCTGTTGCATGACGGCAGCAGTGTATGTGTTTACTGAGGTAGTCTGCTTTAGCTAGTTATAAACCTATTGGCTTATTAAGGCTTCAAATTTGGATTTCGTGGCAAAAGAAGAGGCGCAGAAGCCAGCTCATTCGAGGTACCTAATACAAGACACTGTTTTCAACTAAAGTATAATTCTTAAGTCTACTCATGTCTCAATCAGACTTTTCCAGCACTACGTGTGATTCGCCGGTGAAGACATGCATGGCGCTATGCTTAGAACCATTCCCCATTTACCGTGCTGTATCTGAAAGACCAAAGACTAAAGTTCCGACTACTGCCCTATGACTGTTGGTAGCACTTCCCAGCCTTCGGGCTGGTGAACGACACTCCACTAGGGTGGTAGTTCTTTCCCCCATTGTAAGAGTCGCACCAGCTCTGCGGTACGTTGTAGCAGTTGAGCGACAGGTCACCGTAAATATCAGAGGAGCTGTAGACCTGTCCCTTTTGGTCGTTTTGGCACGTCCGCTTGGCCCAGGCGTTGAACTGATCAAATGCTCCATCTCCCTTGGCCGAGAGGGTGACCCAGTTGACGGCCATCACTGGGGTGATGAGAGCGAGGAGGGATAGCTTGACCATTGTCTAGTCATTATTAGTTGAAAATGTACATTGTATCCAACGAACAAAGGGCGAGAGGTTTAGAAATGACGTACTAGGACTTTTGATTGTATAATTTGCGTATTGAGGTGGAGTATGGGGCTTGAATACGGTGTCCGTCAAGATCCGGATGTTCAGTAATCCGCCCAGGCAGAAGCCATATATAAGTATATGAATACGATTTCTAATCATTGCATGTGCGCTCCCGGCTTCGGATATCGCGGACTGAACGCACCTCGAGCACGCCTAGTACCTTAGCTTTTGGACTCAATAACCCCTAGAAAGTCAAAATAAATGAGTTGCGAGAGTACTCCGTGAGACCCACCCTGTACCGGCTTCAGCTACTCCGTAGTGCTCTGACAATAGTTGTAATCGCAACCTAGTAAAATGAAACCTCGAAAAGACATACTTGGGGCTTCCACATGACCACATTAGCTAATTGACTATTTCTTCACATCAAAGGGAGTAATGCAACTACACTGTACTCGGGCAAGTTGCCTTCTCTGGAAATACACAAGGTCCAAGTTCGTGAGACTCTGACTCATGCTAGGTTGAACTTTGACCGGATATGTCGACCGTGCCAGGCAGAAAATCAACGATCTTCATTTCTTGCCGAATTTCCGTTCTTCCCGGCTTCTAGATTGGTAATGAACCAACCTACTTAGCTGGTTCTGAAGGCATTTCGGCTAAAGTGCTGCGACATCTATGTCCCAGTAGGAATAGGAATCGGATGTCGGATGAGTATAGTGCCGATATAGTTGCTCAATTTGGGGGGCACTTTTCCATGTTTTATAAGTCTCAAAACTATTCTCACATTCAGCCGGTAGCTTTAGCACTCATTTGCCCCTTGTTCGCGGACTATTGTAGTTGCGATGCGCTCTATCTTCTTATGCACATCATCGTCATGAGACACTCTTATAAGATTCTTGATTCTAGCCGCTCTATCACAATAATAATAACTCAACTGCTATTGGCTAAGTACCTAGAGTAGGTATACATCACAAATTGAAATCATTTCATACTAGTATATGACTCCCCACTTCGCACAAAATCCTCAAAATTTGGGGTAGCACCAGCAGTCGAAGTTATTCCCTTGCCCATTTCCAGACCTAGCGTTGTTGGATAATGTTTATGTAAGGTAAGTCAAGTAGGTAAAGGTTGATGACACACTGCAGGCATGCAAACAACACAGATCCATCGCAATCGGACTATTGAAGACATGAGTGACCTTATTGGGACTTGTTTGCCATTACGAAGAGAACTTACATTACAGAACCCAGCGCAGACATTCTTCTTAGATTCGTATACGCATGACTAAGGCTGCAGTAAAGACTCAGATTAGTACGAGGTCAATTAAAACACGCATAGTGACAATCGTTCTGTCCATACCTCCGACGGTGCGTTGTCGCCTGAACAAGTGACTGTGGCAGACGTCAAAGCGGCTAGGGGGGACACGATGAAGAACTTGGAATTCATGTTGTTAGAGTGACTGCAAATAGGATTCGATGTAGTGATGTAAATATTGTTAAACTGATGGAGGAAGACTTCCCTTGATGTACTTTTGGACTTGTATCTCGTATTCTGCTTTCGTTAAATCCATGGACCACTCTGGTAGAAAATGCGGAACTCCTAGGATACAAAAGTCTAAACACGCGTCTTGTCAAGTCCTCGACATGCCTTCGCCGAAAAGATACTCAAACTAGTAGTCGGCTTCTCGCACCGTAGGAATACTTCATCCACTTGCCAACAATACTTTCGAAATAGCTCTCGCAAGAATTTAGTCCGTCGTATTCTCTTTGCGGAAAATGCCTGATAAAGTTCGTGGGAGCAGTGCAGCACGTTTATTACACCTGACTCACTACTGCTTAGTATCAACTCATTGAGCTTCTATAAGTGGATTGTTTTCGGTCTCGGTTTGCCTCAATGGAGACCAGTGCCGCATTCACTATATCCGGGGATTTGATTCACACACACACACACACACACACACAGATATATGTGTATTTGCATGTAGACTGGAGCTTTTGGGGCGTTACCAATGCATGACTCAAATCAACTCGTCCGCAAAGAGGTCTTCTAGTTGATGATTGGTGCTCCCGGAGCGAACAGTCGTGTCAGGCGACAGCAGATCGTGCTCTACGTTAACATAGCTATATTTACTCACAGATGATAGGTGAGTTATAATCACTTGACAAAATAAGCGCTCGGCTGAGAATACGAACTTGTCAGTGAATGTAAACTTCTATTCGACTCAAAATTCTCGGTGAAGAAGCTATCAACTGAGCTACTCAAATCATGGCCTTCTTTTTCTAGTTCAAAAGAGGTGGACATTCCGCCATTTGTGACATCTGGCCTCCTAAAGCCTTTTTCAATCAGAGTCAAGGTCATTCCGTCTAGTTGCAGTCGTTGCAGTGCAAAAGGCAGTTCGTCATGCAGCCAGTGCGCTGGAGGGAGGACATGCGATCAGGTCCGCCAAAGTCTTTGGAACATTTGTGTCAGCGCCTTGGAGCTTGACCGATCGGCGTGAGTCTACGAGCGCGGCGGTGATGCTACTTACTATCGTGGCAGGTGGAAGTGCATGTCAAACAAGTTCCCTGATAAGGAGCGGCGCCACTGCATCCAGCCATGACGGAGGGAACGATGGCTGCGGCGATAAGGAGGATGGTCTTTGAGAACTGCATTGTAAAGAATGGTTGTAGATTCGTCGGGTAACTGGGTGTTGATGGATGAGTGCGTTTGGATAGGATGATGTTGTGATTGTAGTCGTGGATGTTGCAATCGAGTGCCCCCAACATGGCGGAGACGTTTGCCTTTTATAATGTCCTCAGACCATCAGCAAGTATTGAGCTCTTTTCAAGTAGCCAATCATCGGATCTAAAGCTGTAGGAGAGAACATCCTAGGTTGATTGAAAAAATTGAGGCACCGTTCAGGCGTCACCAATCTCATGTTGGGAGGAGCTTAAACATCGCCTCACCCATGCTCTCGAAGAAGCGTAGCGCTGACGAGTGTGGATAAGTTACGAAGGAGGCTGATGCAAGCATTTAGAGTTATCAATCTCTCTGAGGGCTAGATGTGGAGCCCCGCGCAGCGGCCCGCAATCCTATTCCCTTGTTCCAGCTCCAGGCATCGACATTCTGCCGGCCTCGGATGGCTTGGCTCGCACTACCTCGCACTTGAGTGACCCAGCGACCCGCTGGTATCCGTTGATCTCTACTGATAAAGGCAGAGTCTAAAGCTCAATCAACGTCTCTATGGAGTTGGAAGGATTCTGTTAGGGAGAAAGGATTGATAATGGTTTCTAAACTTTTGGCTCGAGTCGTATCATTATGGTATTTAGTGTCTTGGCAGTGAATGCTCTAGCTGATTTCATTTAGGAACTGTGACCTATGTAAAGAAGTACCAAAAGCTGGATGTATCATTTAGCATGAGTACTTGGAGTGTCCGTGAGAGAATAACCGTTGAAGCCTCACCCGACTTCCCGTCCACTAAATCCAACCTCCTTCAGTGACGTTCATGTCCCTGGCCGGGCTTCTCGGCGGTCTTGGAGGAAGCTTGTTGGTGCCTTCCAGAACACCAGAATCACCTCTCGATACCCTATTCGATGGGCCACCGTAATCGTATACAGACGACACAGGAACATTAGTGGCTCCAGCATGGAACGGTATCATGCTATCTCTCTTCCTCAGAGGCGTCATGAGTCCTCCAATCGCAGCCTCATGGGCTAGACGCTTCCTCTTTCTGGCTCGGTTCCAGATGAAGACCGTCACACCCAGCAAGATGCCAAGAAAGGCAAGTGCTCCGACGATGGCCCCTGTAATGGCGGCTGGTGAAGCTTCGTCAGACGAATCGGATGTTTCCGAAGGGATTCCTGGTAGCAGAAGACTAGTCTTCGTGGCGATGGTGACCCCAGCTGTTGGGGCAGACACCTCGGCTGTCCTTGTGGTCTTGGCGTCGTCACTGGTCCTGGGTGAACCATTTTTCGTGGTGACTGTCAAGGTGCCATCTGGAGGGATGGAATTTGCTATCAACGTTCCGATACCGGAAACTGAGCTACATTGAAGGAGTGTGTAAGTCGCCGTGTTGTCGATCGAGTGCCACGTCCAGCAGTCAGTGTTAGGATAGGGCCCACTGTCCGTTGTTAGTCGTTCCTATGAAATATCACGGGGAAAACTGTTTGTCAGATTGACTTACCAGCAGAGCTGGCCAGGCTCGCATCCCCTCTTGGCTTTCGCTTTCTGCACGCATGCAGTGGGTATGGGGTTGCCGCAGCCCATGTAGGGCCCGGACGAGATGCAATCTGTGGGTGGGTTGACACAAGCATATGGGATAGGCTCTTGTGGGAACCTATGAGATTGTGAGCCTATGTCATTTGTCTTGTTTGCTTGTTTGCATAACGTCGGAGAGGGGATTCTTTACCCGAGGGTGTTGGTTGCGAGCGGTATCCAACCGCATATCTCATTCGCTGTCGCAACGACATTCTGAGATGCAATCGCTGCCATCTTTCCGAAATAGTAATTGAGGCAGAAGTCAGTTTTGCGTGGGGGAGGGGAACTGACGATAAATCAAGGAGGAAATATACGCATCTCACGACATCCGTTTTGTAGTTGGGGACAGGCATGGTATGATTCACCATTCAAGGCGACCTCGATCGAAGATGATTTCAAGCAGTTGTGGCTCTAGTGATTCACTCAGGGGTGGGATTTGGCGAGGAATATCAGATGAAAGACCAATATGTTTGATCAAGCTCAAAAAGCTCAATTAAGAGCAAGAACTATTACCAAGCCTATGTGCTCGACTCTTCGAGGCTATCAGTCAAATGACAATAGTATCGTGCAGAGTCGGCGGTCTCAGAGCCTCCAATCCCATGGGTATACCATAACCAATATCCATCATTACCAAAAGCAAAACCACGCCGCAGCCTTATCGGTCCTCATCGCGTATCCGTACACAAACAGCATCAGAAAGCCGTAGCTCAAGCTTGCTGCGGCGGCATGTGCATTCCCTCCTTCTGCGGCTGGTACCCCTGAACGATGGGACCCGTCGACAGACGTGCCTGGACCTCCTTATCCTGCTGGATGAGCGCGCAGCAACCGCACCAATAACTCACGCAGCAATCGGAGCTGCCGGAGCCCTTGATGCCGAATCGCTCGCGGATCTCGGCGCGCTTCATCATGGCGTAGATCCAGCCGCAGCCAGTGAACCAGCTGATGCCGCACATGAGCAGGCAGTCTGTGTTAATGGCCTCGTACGTCTGCATCGTAGGGTCGCGCATGCGCTCTGAGGTTTTGCCGAGAACTGTTGGATGTTGCGTGTTAGTTGGGGCTCTTGGGGTAGAAAGTGTATGGAGGGACCTACGCAAGCACGGGAGACAGGTTCCGACGATACAGGTATCGCAAGGACCGCAGTCCATCAGGCTCGACTGCCATTCTTGGGTCTGAACGTTGGCGCCTTGAACGTATTCTTGCTGCATTGTCTGCTGGTGCTGGGGGTGGGGCTGGTGCTGGAGCTGCTGTTGTTGAGGTTGCTGTTGCTCGTAGTACTGCTGCTGTTGCTGCTGCGGTTGCATCTGAGGCTGCATCTCGGGCTGCTGGTACTCCGCCTTGGGTTGTTGTGAGTAGACCATGATGACAGGGTGCGTTGCTACTAGGTAGAGACTGGAGAAATTGGTGTCGAGTATGGCTGTGGCTGTATGAGAATTTTAGAAGCAGAGAAAAGTCGACAAGAGCGTCAGGCAGCTAGAGAAGGCGGGCGAGGGATACTGTGGTCTGATATACAACGTGTGGGCTTCATCATGTAAGACAAGACACGAACAACGCTTCGACAAACGGGCTGACGGCTGAAGGACTTAATACGGGCTGGACGAATGCAGACGGCCGATCACATCTCAAGAGTGGCCGGATGTGGTTTAATGGGTGAGCCCAAGTAGCATGCCTAATTCGCCCAGTGGTCACACAGAAACAGTACCTTATCTCGTAGCTGAAAAGGTCAAAAACAAGCTTCACCACAAATTACCTCGTCCCCAGTCCACGAGCGCTAGCGTAGGCTGCTGCTAGACAACGCCAATAGGCGTTTTTGATGACTTTGAGACAGGGTCGTGCTTCTCGCTTGGGGAATGAGGCTTTGCTCATGTCAAGCCTTTTCTCCGGTTCTCTTACCACTCCTTTGGCAGGCCCATGTAGGTCGTAGCCTTGGTAGCCTTTTGGACGGAGAGATGAATAACCCCACGACTCATTCACTCACCTGTCGGTTGCCTGGATCCTGTGCATCCGAGCCAAAGCAAAATCAAGTCTGAAGCCGAGGAGCGCCGGCGTTAGAAGAATATGTCAGACCATTATCCGTGAATCCATTACTCACTTGGCACGCCCTTCGTCCTCTCGTTTCCCCTTGTGGCTTGTTGGTCGAAGCGGTGATTGGAGACTTGGCTAACGGACGCAGCAGCTGGCTCATGCATCATGGCGGGGACGCTAGACCCGACGATGTTGGATGGCGTCCTAGGGCTGAGCTTGGCGGGCAAGGGGTGAGGAGGGGGATTCCGCGAGGCAGATTGAGAGCCGTGTTTGGCATTTCTTCTCATGTAAGGGGTACTCACTTCCCATTTTGTCTTTTTTGTGAGATTGAGAGCCGCTGAATGTCATTACATGATGAGGAAACGTATGAGTGTGTAATGTGAGCGAATCGGCCATTGATCGCAGTGCATGTGGTCTCAATGCTTTCCTTCCTCTGTCCAAGTTGGGAAGAAATGCCTGCCGGGAAGGGGCCGGGCCTCACTCCGTCGTGTCTCCAACGAACGGGGCTCTGGACGATCAGAAGACGGGGCCATCAGTGATCGTCAAGACTAACGTAGGCAGACATACAAGTAGGTTTGAGTTCAACTGGAACCGTGGTGTTCAACTGACAACATGAGTCGTGGAGAAAGGAGCGTGAAAAGAAGCATGAGTGAGTTGTTCATGGCTCAGCTCAGCTCAGCTCACTGCCACTCGAATCCAATAGCTGCGACGATTCCGACGAATGGGTGGAAACGGTTCCCGATTTTAGGTTAGGGTTTCCGGACTGTCCCTGCAACGGTCCCCTTTTTCACGCCCCTTGCAAGTTCTTGTGGTTACACTCTCTCACCCCTGTCATCCCATCTCATCTTACCATTGCAGTGTGTCTCTGAGGTTTGCGGCTTTGTCAAAAGGGCTCCAGCTCTAAGTATGGTCTGTCATTTTCCCCAGCCTCACTTGCTTCGTTGTAGTCATTAACTGTCTGTGAGAGTTGAGAATAATCGGTTCTCAACATCGGTACGGATACATCGTGTAAAAGAAAACCCGCCTAATATCCTGGGCATGGTCTTCGGGGGCCCTCTCTTTGCAAGCCATCGCCGAAGATGCACGTTACTTTGAATCGGAGCAATCTGAGGCATCTCACCTCAAGATATCCGTATATGGAGTAAATCACGCCTCATTATCTACCACGCCACCCTTATCCAGATCCTCCCTCCCCTCATCCTTCCTCTTATCACGAACCCTCTTGCTCATGATGACATAATCAGGCACAAACACCTTTCCAAACCTCAACTTCCTCTCCACGGGCGACAGCGCATCAATTTCAAAACCAAGCTTCTCATAAAACGCGCGCGCATCCGCGTTGGCGATGAAGCAGGTCAGCATCACCTTTTCGATAATGGGAATACTCTTCGCCACTTTGACGAGGTAATCCATGAGTGTGCGGCCGACACCCGTGCTGTATCGCAGTCAGTAATCTAGAGCATCTAGTATCTCAACTTCTAAAGTGTAGAGCGTTCGAGCAGGAATGAGACCTGGAGATGTGGGCTACCGGGCTGAGATCCGAGGACCCTCATCCCCCCGGGATGGTGCTGATGGCGCACTGAGCTCAGCCCACCGGCTGCCGGTCCCCGCCCCGGATACCCTCACCTGGACTCATCCTTCGAGCAGGAACACACAGAAGAAACTCCCAAAACTCACCCTCGTAATTCCTCCAGGAGATGGATCTCATAGCAGTACACCACAGCCTCACCCTCTTCAAAGGTAGGCATCAGGCTCGTAAATCCGCAAATTTTGTCATCCGCAACCTCTCCACCCTCTTCACCAGCGTCCTTACCGGCAGCGGATGATTCAGGCACCGACACATCTGACTTTTTCACAAGGACGTATCGTAGTCCTTCGCTTTTCATCTCCTTCATCTTGTGGCTAGGCCTCCACCCATCTTTTGAAGCGCGATAATCTGCTCCACTTGTGTAGTCGATGAGGTCGAAGCACGCTTGCAGCTCACCCTGTGAGAGCTGCGACGGGGACTTGAGTGAGAGGGTGTACGATGTACCGCTTTTGGGATGCGTCCATTTCGTCCACTCGGGGCTGGTATCATATCATAGTGTGAGATAAGAGTGCGCTTGCGATGTGCGGCGCTTGGCTCAAGGCAGATGGGTAGGTGGTGACATGATGCCGGGAGTGAGACGAACCTGGGCTGGAGATGGTCCCTCACAAAGTCGGCGTCGGATTTGCGGTTCGCTGCTTCGATGGGGTTGGTCGGGGCCCTACGACGTTTGCGGGGTGGTGCCATTCTTCATTCAAAGATGGGGAAGATATCTGAGCCGGGTGGCTCGTCTACAAGGTAAAGCGAAGAGAAAAAGACAAACCTTGCATCGAATTCTACAAGAATTAAGAGAAGTTGGGAGAGACTGAGGATGTGAACTTGGTGTAAGGTAAATAGATGATTCAGTTCCACAATGGGCAACCCTCTTTCACCGAACTGAGAGCTGTTGCTGTGCCAGACCCAGACCCTTGCTGAGCCGGGCGCTGGCGACAAGTCCCGAAGTTTCCCCGTCTTGACCTCATCCACTCCGAAAAGTTTCCACACCTCACCCCGGGCCACCAATTGGCTTTGAAAGCATGAAAGCGCAGCACTTTCATTTGATATAGGTGAGAAACATTAGAGTCCAGTTGAGACGAACCTCGGCAATCTCACAATTGACTTGCAGATGTAGTCGGATCCTCCCATTACTTGGCCCTAATGCCCTTCAAAACTCCCCTGTGGTCTATTGTCCGCAGCTACTCTACCAGGCCGGCCAGGTCGCGGCTCGGGAAGAAGGCTTTGAGTCTGGATCATGTAAGAACCTGCCCCTTGTCTCTCATACTCTCTCGTCGTATCTCTCCTTCAGCTATTCACATGAGAATGGTGCTCAAGCACTTGGATGAATAATGGTGTAAATTGCATACATGCGTGCTCACACTTTATCTGCAGTTCCTCCAGAGATCCCGTGTCCTATCCCTCTACCGTGAAATCATCCGCGGCACACGCCGCATCGCGGATCCAAACACCCGCGTCGAGTCGAGACGATACGCCCGCGATGAGTTTGAGCGTCACCGAGATGTGACGGATCTCGTAAGTTCCCACCTTTCCTCACACATCTCACTTCTCATCAATCAAGGCTGGTAACACATTATCTAGGGACACATCCGCTATCTCATTTCAACAGGCAAGACGGAGTGGCAAGGCATGGAGCGATACGTCGACGGAATGTAGACTCTCATCATTGTAAAACCAAAATAGAATCTCTGTATAATACACACCACAAAGGTCTAATCCTTGCCGTGATTTGCTTCTACAGCTGCAAGGTGCCCGTGATGAGGGGGATCTTTCTAAAAACTCCAATGGGATTGGCATGGCTTCCCATGGTTCGTCTCCCGACTTTGTCTACAGTCGCGACATTCCTCACGTGCCGTCGCCCACTGCCCAATGGCACTCCTCTCCCTTCTCTCTGTATGGTACACGGTTTCTTCATACACTCGACTCTGTTGATAGCATCCTCTCTAACCCAATGACCGGGGAATCTCTCAAGATTGACGTTGCTTGTGTCTGGGGTTCGCCTTGCAGATGACGTACAGGTATCCGTTGTGTCTCTTGCCCGCCTTGCGTCTGACAATCTGTGGCATGGTGTTAGCAAAAAGCCCATAGCAAACTCTCCATCACAACTCCGATTCCTCTCCCCTCGTCCATTACAAGCATCCTCAATCCCGCTTCCCCGGAATCATCCCAGCCAAGCCTAATCCATGTACTCCTTCGCAAAAACCAAAGGGCAAAAGCTCACCTTGCAGTGCTCACACCTCTTTTTAACGGAGCTGTGCACCTTCATCCCCCTCGTCTGCTGCACCACGGCATTTACCACGCCCGAGGCGCTCTTTCCAACCTGCGCGAGCATCGACTCGCTCTTCTGCGCCGGCTGCTTCGTCAGGATCGCCGTCGAGAGGGCGCGCGTCGCAGTGGCTGTGGCCGTGGTGCTGGCGGCGCGGGGGATCGTTGCACGGGCGGTGCTGAGGGTCAAGGCCCGGAGAGAGGCGGCGAGGGTAGAAGCCATTGTGTAGTCTTTTCTCGAGTTCCCTGGTCGTTGTTCGTCGGGTGGATTGTGGAGGGACAAGGTCAGACAGGGCGGCAGTGGAAGCTTAGAGCTTGGGTCCTTGAAGATCGAGCAATTCGAAGGGCGTCAATCGTCGAACGGGAGCTATCCGGAGCTTCGGGAGCCGTGTTTCGTGGTGAGGCGTGGAGCTTCGCGATACCGACTGCTCTGGTGGTGAAGGGGCCTGGATGGCCTCAGTTGGAGCATTTTCGACGGCTTGGCGTTCATCACGTGGTGTTGATGTCCGTGCACTTATCGGAACGGCAACTCTTATCGCCTTGCTGCGGTATCGGACGAAAAGGTACCTACCTGCAGACGATGGGATGATTTGAGTTATATGCTGCGAAGTAAATCACAGTTGAATGGAATGTAAATGACTTTTTCTCATTGAGTATGAATGATCTATCTACAGGAAATAGTGAAAGGTTGCGAGACTTTTCTCTTCCCCAAGTTGCACCAGGATGCGTGATATTTCCCAACGTTCCGTTTTCTGTTACCCAAATGTTCGCAAAAACTCCCAGCGCCGTACGAAAATCAACCAAATATCTGGATTTTCCAAGACCACCTGCTCTAACTACGGAGGAAAGTCTTGAAGACGGCTGACTGGGTGCATTCCTCCCAAGGATATCCAATTTCGGTCAAGAACTTCTCCAACTGATCGACCTCGTTGTCGGGGCACAGGATACCCGCTAGGATCTTGCCCGTGTCGCCGCCGTAGTTACGGTAGTTGAACAGACTAATGTTGAACTTGGGGCGCAGCGTCATGAGGAACTTCTCCAAAGCGCCGGGCCGCTCGGGGAAGTTGAACATGTACAAGCGCTCGTTGGGCACGTTGGAACGACCGCCGACGAGGTATCGGATGTGGCTCTTGGCAAGCTCGTCACCAGAGAGATCCGTCACGGACATGTCGTGCGATCTGATGCGCTCTAGAAGCATCTGAAGCTCCTGCGTCCTTTGCGACGCCGGGGCCGTCAATGAGATACCGATGAGAACGTTGGCGACTTCGTCAGTAGCGTAGCGGTAAGAGAACTCGGTGACGGAGTGAGGCATGATGCTAGTGATGAGGTTGGAGAAGGCACCTGGCTTCTCGGGGATGCTGACCGCCAGCAGAGCTTCCTTACCCTCGCCGAGGGTAGCGCGCTCAGCGACGAAGCGCAGCCTGTCGAAGTTCATGTTAGCGCCAGAGGTGACGGCCACCATGGTCTTGCGGCGGTCGCTCGGGTTCTGGGCGACGTATTTCTTGAGACCGGCGATGGAGAGGGCGCCGGCAGGCTCGAGACCGGCGCGAGTGTCGTCGTACATGTCCTTGATGGCCGCGCATACCTCGTCGGTGGTGACCTGGATGACCTCGTCTACAACGTCCTTGCAGAGACGGAACGTCTCCTCGCCGACAGTCTTGACGGCGGCGCCGTCTGCAAAGAGACCGACGCTGTCCAATACCACCCGCTCTCCCTTGGCCAAGGACTGGACCAGCGCATTGGCGTCATAGGTCTCAACACCAATGATCTTGACATGGGGCGCCATGCGCTTCACGTAGACACCAATGCCAGAGATGAGACCACCGCCTCCGACACAGCAGAAGATGGCATCGAGCTTAGCCATGTTGATTTGGCCAAACAACTCCATACCAATGGTTCCCTGGCCCGCAATGACATACGGGTCGTCAAACGGCGGGATGTTGATCAGACCGTCCTGCGCCGCTCTCCGGCCGCACTCCTCCTTGGCGGCATCGAAATCGGCACCGTGCAAGACGACGTGTCCGCCCAGGCGCGCGACGTTGAGATGCTTGATGCTGGGTGTGGCTTCGGGCATGACAATGGTGGCAGGGATCTTGAGCTTGCGGGCCGAGTAGGCGACGCCCTGAGCGTGGTTACCGGCGGAGCAGCAGACGACGCCCTTCCAGCTAACGGCGGGGTCGAGGTGGGCCATCTTGTTGTAAGCGCCGCGCAGCTTGAAGCTGAAGACGGGCTGTTGGTCCTCGCGCTTGAGGAGAACATTGCACTCGAGTCGGTTGCTGAGGTTGACGGCGGGCTGGAGCGGTGTGATCTTGCAGGCTTCGTAGACGCGGGATGTTGCGGCGGCGATCATCCGGAGGTACTAGAGGCGCACAAAGTTTAGCGGTGGTCCGTCCCAATTGAGCCATTGAGATTGGCATTGGTGATTGTTCTTACGTCTGGGTGGCCATCGGGCAGCAGAAAGTCCTCGGGAACAACGCCCTTGATGCGGTTCCTTCTTTCCTCTGGCGGCGTGGACGGGTTGGCGCTGTACTCGGTCAAGGACATGCCGGCGGGCTGCGGTGTTCTTGGGCGCGGCGGGTGGTCGCCATTGACGCCATTGAGGGTTCCGTTGGTCATGACGGCGACGACGGGAGGCTCTGTGTTCTCTGACATTGTCACGATGTCTTGCGGGAAAGTTGTTTGGGAAAAGAAGAGGAGTCACTTGGCCCGGGACAGAGGTAGAGAAACTGTCCAAGAAAGAGTCACGAACGGCTGACCCAATGGACCAGACCGGCCTGAATTAAACTGGAAATTTGTTCATAGTGGGGCAGATATCGGAGCGCAAGTCGGGCTCGCGGGGTAGAACATCAGACGGTTTTCTTGCGGTGTGTTGGCCAGCGCTGCCATCCACGCCCTGTCAGCAGCTTCTCTGGCGCTGGAGATTGGCTACAGTACCCATGTTCCTGCTGTAGCGTCAGCAAGGGCGTCGCGCTCCCCTGCCGTCAGTGTCCGTGACTCTGGGAATTGAGGGCGACATCGCTGACACTGCAGACCGGGGTGTCTTATCGGACATGGACTGTGCGTACTGGCAAACTGGTAAGGCATCTTATCGGATTGCACTTCGATAAGATACCTGCTGCTAAGAATCCGAGGGGAAACTGAATGTGGCTGGAGCGAGCAAGTATACGTAAAGCCACACGGCGCCGTTCGGGATTTGCCGCAAATCTGCTCAAGGGTCGAGCTCTGGGCGCCGTGCAGCCAGTCCCCGAAAGCTAGGAGGGTCTCGGAGTCCATTTCATCATCGAATTCGCCGACCACTGCACTTTGGGGGGAATAATCGCACGACTAATTCCCAACTCCACGATTGCGACTTCTTCAACCACCACAACACCAATTTCCAACCGCCACAATGCCCGGCCCAGACGGAAAGCCCTCGTTGCTCGATCAGCCTATGCCATCGTCTTTTGACGAGAACAAGTAAGCCAGCCTCCACCTTCGGGCTCTGCGGGAGCTGCACATTGCCAAAGCCAAGGATTTGGAGGTTTGCTAACCCTCCCACGCGACCCGCAGCGAATTCTACGATGAGCGCGTTCTTCACAAGGCCTTCCGCAAGCTCAGGGAGGAGCCCTTGATTCCCCTCGGTACGCAATCGTTCTGCCCCATTCTCGAGACCCGTAGCATCGAACCCGTTCTAACCCAGTGTCGCAACCACAGGATGTGGTCTGACCGTCTTCGCCTTCGTCAACGCATGGCGTGCCACTCGCCGCGGCGACGCCAAGCAAGCCAACAGAATGTTCCGAGCCCGTGTCGCCGCCCAGGGATTCACCGTCTTCGCCATGGTCGCCGGCAGCATGTACTACAACAAGGACCGCGAACGCACCGCCGAGCTGCGCAAGATCAAGGAGGCTAAGGACGCCGAGGAGCAGCGCCAGCGCTGGATCCGCGAGCTCGAGGCCCGAGATGAGGAGGAGAAGGCACTCAAGGCTAGGATGCTACAGAGGCGGGCGAACCTCGAGGCCAAGAATGCCGGTGGCGATGCGTCGGCTGACGGCGAGCAGGCCAAGACTGGGGGTGTCCTCGGCGCGCTGGGCTTGTCGGCGTGGAAGAAGCCAGAGGAGGGCGAGGCTGCTGCGGCGGCTGAGAAGTCGATCGAGGAGAAGCCACAGAAGAAGGAGAACCCCAAGAGCTCACTTGGTGCGATTGGCGAGATTTACGGCAGAAAGCCGTCGCCGTCATCCGAGGGGTCGTCAGAAGAGCCCAAGAAATGAGGTTGAGTGGGGAAAGATTAGCACTCTGATTTGTATCACATCACGGCTACATTGTACAGTACTGGCATTGGCATCGACGTCTAGGACGGACACATTGTCTCATTGAAGACTCCGCTCCGTCGTATATAAAACCGGGGGCAGCTGGCGGCGCATCTGGGTTCAATTGAATGATTATCTGATATCTCGACAGAAGCAGGAGATGAGATCACCCTTGGCGAATCTGACTCGTCACTTGGCAGCCGAATTTTCGTATAGCCTCAGACACGAGCGGCATAAATCGCCACCCATATCGCAAATGACCGAGTCCTACGGAGCACTCCGGGGTTTATGCTTGACTCCGTCCAGACCCCACGATGGGTTCTACGCCGACCCGGCGTGAACGGCATGGCCGTGGTGCGGGAACAGCGGAACCTAGTTTCGCTAAGTTTTGTATTTACAACCCAGTGGAATGGTTTGCCGTTTGTGCGGGTATTGTGTTGCATGACTCTGTGCAGTTGTGGATGGCTGGGTATTCTGGACTGAAGATCAGCATTTCGTCAAAGGGCTCAACTCTGATGGACTTTGCAATTTTATTTGAAAATCCCCTACAACACTCAATTGTCTAGATGGTCAGAACATACCACTGTGAGGATGGTATCTTACGGAAATTCTAGGAGGTCCCCTACTTAAGACGGTCAGAATCTCTTTTAACGAACTCGGAGAAAACAAATACTTTTCAGTTAGCAATACCTCCATATCCACAACCTCACAACTTGGCCACTAAATCCACCATCAAAGTAAGTTGCAGCTTGCAACCGGCTTCACCAGAGGAAGTAATAACATTAAGCTCGCAGCATGAAGGCCACCACTATCTTCACCGCCACTCTGGCATCTCTCTCATGGACCGTACAAGGATGCGCCAACTACAAGTTCTGCCATTGCTACGATGACAACGGCATGCCTAATGACTTGGCAACCAACATCATATGCCCCGGCAATCTGGAGTCAAGGACGGAATTTGGCGTCACCTTCAAGGAGTGCCACTACTACAAGAACTATTTCTTCCTCTACAGTGCTTTGGACAATTGCGACATCAGGCGTCGGTGCAAAGCCGCCGGCGCGACTGGGGCAGACTCGAGCTGCAGAAGCAAGGTCGAATAGGAGCAGGTGTCGGAATAATCATGGCATTACTGAAAGTCTATGAATATAATGTTTTCGTCAATCTATTCTGTATATGTCCACTCATCACGGGACTGGTACCTAGAAGCTTGAGATGACGAGACCTCTAATCCTGAAGTGCATCACTACCTTCACTGTAGCTTACTGATTCGAACCATGTATGCGGGCTATATTTTTTTCACTCCTCCTATTGTATTTGCCCTTCCTCTAATGCTCATCGACTGATGCTACTCGCATGCCAAGGTGAAAGAATGCATTCGCAAGTGTAAGTCATTTGAGGTAGGAGCTGGCACCGCATTTGATAACTAAAACTCGCATGGAGGGGCAGGGAGCTTGGGCCAGTGACAGTGACGTTAGCGGGGTTCCTCCACTGCTGGGGGAAAGACTGGAGACCCGCACTGGTCTGACACCCGCTGAAAGTCTAGGCGCTGAGCTATGTCATGCCGTTCCGTCGCTTTGTCTCCTGATGGAGGCTGCACCCCAGACATTTGGCCTTCCGTCATCAACCTTCCCATACCCGTCCTCCTTCTCCCTCCCTCCCTCCCCCTCCTTCGACATGGCCATAGTCTATTATGATTGCGCCATAGCCCACTATCTTACTCTTATCCCCGACTTCGATGCCTCTTGAACCGATATACAAAGCTCACCATGGGTCAAGTCCTGTCTGACGAGAACTCGCGGCAGGCGACGCACGAGGAGCTCACCCGTGAACTAGTAAGTCTCCGGATGCACCAGGACCAGCCATCAAGACACCACACAGCACCCCTTTGCATTGGATCGTGATCACCCAGTATCTAGGTTGTGATTTATGCTTACCACCAAGTACACCAGGCCACCCGATTCGCCGAAAAGTGCTTCACCTCGCTCGAACTGTACTCGTTCAAAGATGTCTTCAAAAGCTTGGCAGATAACCAAGGCGACATCCGCTACCTGAAGGAAGACACTCTCGCCCGATTCCTCGAGATACCCGATATCCTCCATGTCTCACCCGTCATATTCCAGATGGTATCCTACATTGGCGCCTTTCCCTTCTTGCAGGATGCCCCGGCCGTTCTCGGTATCGATCAGATGATCATGGTGGTCGTTATCATGACGCAAAGACACAAGCGGGTTCTGGCTAAGGGAGCTACGGATAGGGCTAAGCTCATCTTCAAGAGCCTGGCAGTGCATGATCGCAGAGCTTCCGAAACTGCTGCCGCTGCTGAAGACTCCAAAGAGGCGCCGCCAGGTGAACCGCAGGCAGCAAGCCACGCGGCTGGCTTCGCAGTCGACGCACCTGTGGATGACCCTGAAGAAGACGATGACGACCTCGAGATCGCCGCCTTTGAGCTCCTCGACATCCAAGATGCCATATGGCAGGGCGATGCACCAAAGATGCAAGGGGCCATGATACCCGCGGATAACTTCCGCAAGCTGCTGATGCTATTGATCCTGATCGCGCCACTGAGTCCCCAGGAGAGTCTGTCAATGTACTCCACTCGGGTCACGGGCGAAGAACTGGACAGCCTGCGTGCTACGGCAGAGAACATTTTGGCTGCGTTCTTGAATGTCGAAAAAGCTCCTGGCATCAAGTTTGGGCACTTCAACCGAGTGCTCCCTGTATGCTTCCCGAACCTATTCAATGGGTTCAGCCCCCTGTTTGAGCATTTCCTCTTCTCCAAAAACTTGGATTTCACGAAACACAAGGGTGAAGACCCTGTGGCCGCCGAAAAGCATCCAGAGGAGGTCGTGCAACCTCTGTTGCAAGACAATGCGGATATCCTCAACCTCAACGTCCTCTCGCAACTCTCCTTCTTCCTTCCAGGATCAGATCTCTTTAGGCGACTACGGCTTCTGTACTCTGGAAACGAACACGGCTTCTCCACGGGAAGCTACGAGAGCAAAGTCTTCAACTGGCGAGCGCCCACCATTCTTCTGGTACGCGGCACTCGCCTGAATGACGAGCCCCATGGAAGCCAGGCGTCAAACTTTTCCGCTTCTATCCCTCCACGCCGCTTCCCGAACAGCGGCAAGGGAGAGCAACTGACCTTTGGTGTGTATGTCAGTCAACCATGGAAGCACACGGCCAAGGAATGCTTCGGCGAGCGGGATACGGTGCTTTTCCAGCTGGAGCCCGTCCACGATGTTTTCCCAGCTAACAAGTACAACTCGGACTACGTCGCCTTCACCAAGGCGCCTACTAATCGGCCTATGCTCGGCGTCGGCTGTCCCCATCCCCGACAGACGCAGGCTCACCGGAGGCAAACTATGCTGTCTCTCGGCGCCGTCTCCCTGCTCCTCGATGACTCTTTCGAATTTGGAGTATTCACTCACGACTGGACCACTGGCGGCGGCGCATTCCAAACCAGCACGATGCGCAAGTTTGACTTTCAAGATCGGTTTGAGATTGAGAGCCTTGAAGTCTGGGGTTGTGGAGGAGACGAAGAAGCCAAGGCGCAGGCGGAGCACTGGGCATGGGAGCACCGTGAGGCGGAAGCTCGACGAAAAATCAATTTGGGCACTGGCGACATTGAGGCTGATCGTGCGCTGCTGGAAATGGCAGGCCTCGTTGGCAACAACCAGAGTGGTGGCTCCATGGTTTGAATGGAGACGGTCATGGGGCAGCCTTATCATTTACTGTTCAGAAGCATTGCCAAGACCAAAAGAGCAAGACTTTTGTTTCTGGGGGCGCTCTAGACTAGGCGTTTATTGATTTGCAAAACACACGATTCCCACAGATTATCACCAATTATGAATCCTTCCCAATACCGTGAACGTACAACTGAGTTCCTGGCATATTTCTCCAGCCAGTGTGCTTCGCCCCTCAGGCCTAAACCACCTCTTCGCCTCTTGAGGAAGCGGCAAGGCTCATGAGGTCAGGTGAATACGTCTAAGCCGTCACTCTTTGATCTCATACGCCTTGATGGCTACCTCAAAGGAGTGGTTGATACCCTGGCCCTTCCAAATATCGTATTCGAGAAGGGACTGGTGATGCGGGTCCTTCAATTTGTGGCGCAGGGCATTGGCAGAAGCCTATCGTCATGTGGTCAGCATCTCAATAGTATTCTCAGACGTTTCGCAGCAAAGACGAAGAGCAGGAAAGGGGGTATAAAGGGCAAGAAACCTACCAATGCTGTGTGCTCGAGCTGCCTCAAGACGTTGAAAATGCGGTGGTTCGCGTACGACTGGTACTTTGACACAGGGGCCTTGGCCGTGATGAGGCGGAGAAGCTTCTTGAGAGAAGGGTGGTCGCGTCGCCAGGGGAGGTGAGGCCACGAGGTGCCGGCCTCTTGGGGCTTGTGTTCCTCTGGATGTGGTGCCGTGGTTCTGGTGGGTGGGATCGTGACTGTGGTGGTGACCTCGGCGACAACTCGGGGGAGAACTATTGTATGTGTTGGGAGTCCGATTGTCATGTTGGCTGTTGTTTGCGTGGCTAGGGCGGGGCCATTGGTTGGGACGTGGGTAATTTGGAGTTCGCGGCCGGAATACTAGATTCCTCAGGGTTAGTGATGGCAATGGTGTGATAGGGGGGAAAGCGGGCTTACGTCTTGGTAGCATGCGAGGATGTCGAATTCATCGTCATGGGTGAATCTTGCGTTGTGGAGGGCTTGTTCGATATTCCAGAGAACCCATTCGATGTGACGGAGGCCGTCGAGGACAACCTGTGATGGTGGTTAGTGAGTCCTATAGACCGAACCCATGAGTCTGAGGGAGCGGAAGGAATTCGATGAGGTAGTCGCAATCATGCTGCGGTGTAGGATTGGCCAAAGAGAAAACGCACAATGTAAGGTCCCTTGTTGTGAACAAGCCAAGGAACGTATTCATACTGCCACTGATACACGGCAGTCTGCAAATCACCAGTCTTCCACGCGATACCCTTGTAATATTCACAAAGCTCATGCTTGGTGATACCGTCGTGGTGCTCATGCGGCTCCCGATGTGGCGGGTCTGGGGGAGCGACACCAGACCTAGCAATGGAGTTCACCGCCACAGTGGCAGCATCGCGCAGGTTCTCGCCCTCCTGAGAGGCAGAGACGGAGCCAGCGAGCGCGGCCGAGGCCTCGAGCTCGATGGCGGCCCAGGCTACCTCGCCCGCGGCAGCGAGTCTGTACTCGGCGTTCTCGGAGGGGTGGTCGGGGGGAAAGGAGGCAGATGGGTCTGTGCCGTGGATGGGACCGTCGACGAAGTTTTGGAGGGGTTCGCGGATGGCGGCATCGAGGGTTGAGTCTGGGACTATGATTGGTTTTGCGGATTCTGGGATTGTTGCGGTGTTGGCGAGGGTGAGCAGTGCTGCTGCTGGAAGGAGGAGTTGAGACTTCATCTTGAGAGTTGGGGGGTGAGGAGATGTGAGCGAGTGTAATGGTGAGAAATATGAACAGGAGGAAGGTGAGAATTGATTTGTTTCTTATAGATCATCATGGCATCTGTGTTGGATAGATGTCTACGGTATCTAAAGGTTGCTTGACCATATCATGAATTGAGTTTTGAGATGGAGTGGGCTATTGTGGACCTGGAGGGACAGTTTTTCGGGCAAAGAAGACGATGTCAACTTTACTTGGAAGATGGCGTTTCTTCCCGGTGGCTCTGCTCTAATGCGGCGTCTCGAAGGACAGAAGATGGAAGAAAGAAAGGGGCAAGATTGTATTTTACCGTCTGTTCAATGTCAAAGTCGAGCATGTGCTGTTCAGTTGCCAAAACGCGTGACGCCTCCCCTAAGCCATCAAGCACACGCCGTGGGCCTGTGTCCGTGAGTTTCAATATTTCCTGTCGTCGTCAGAGCTAACGTTTTCCCTCCCGCGGGGTAGACCACATTTCTGGTGTTAACAGCAGTACTTCTGGGTTTCATGATACCTTGCCCATCAAGGCAACAGACAACAACAGCAAGACAGACACACTGTGCGGTTCGAGTGGGCGTGAAAGTTGCGTTGATGCTTGAAGCTACCCAGCCTAATATCGAAAGGGCAATACGAGGTCATCATGTTGACGACGAGATGACCTGGCTTAGGAAATAATTCCGCAACAAATAAATGTACATACTCGGCTTTCGGGATCTTGTGGCATAGGTGTCAAGTTTCTCGGGGGAGGTGTTTGCCTAGACAGCTTGAGTTGAGTCTAGGTACCCTAAACGAAAATAGTATCCGTCGATTCCATAGGCGTAGTCTTTGGATAGACATTATAGGCTACTCTTGAGTCATGTAGGTAGGGTCTTCTCCCCTGAACAAGAAATGATGAGGGACAGAGTTGGCACTTAAGTCAACGAGGATGAAGGCATTCTATGATAGACAGGTTATCTTGCGGTTTACAAATTCCAGTGCGCTCCCATTCGCATAGTCCTGGATTCAAACCTCTGTTGCTGCTTTGAGAGTGCATAATTAGCAGCCCTCATACCACGCACAAGGGGGGTCCGCAGAACACAGATCAGTCTCAACTGAGTACCTTTACGCCTGATGGATGGGAAAAACGCAAAACATCAACCATACTCGAGTTGAGTAGATTTGTTTCCCATTCGGTTATACAGAGTCTTTTGCTACACTCAAAAATTGGGATGGACATGTAGGTTATTAGATTATGACCTAAAAGGTCCACAACACTCCGCGAAGGGGGAAAGCTAATGGATGAATACCGTTAGTAATTCATTGAATAAGTAAGGTGGTGATGATCTAAGTAACCCTAAGTATATAAAGGTGGTGAGCACCTTGGAGTCAGAGTCAGAAAATAGGGGAGGAGTGATTGAAAATACGAAATAGAGACTCAGAGCTATTTCGACTTGTTGATGTTTGTTGTGCTCCAGTGATCAGTACCAAGAAGTGGCCGTAATACCAGACCATATAGAAGCCATTCGCATGAAAGGTGCTATTTACTAGAGGATCATCTTGCCAAATTCAGATCATGTGGTCCTGGAGGTAGACCGCATCAGCGAGTGTATACGTATCTCACACCGCCCACGGACGAATGCACCGCGACCACAAACAAGCCCTTCTATAGCCCCCCCCCCCCCCCCCCCCCCAACTTCATTCCCATCACCAGCCAGCAGGCGCCCGTTTAGGTCGACGGGTCGGGTCAAACTGGCTGGATGGTGGAGTGGTTTGTGGTCGACAGTCAATTACGCCAACCAGCCTACTCGATGATAGGCTTAGTGTTGGTATTCCTATTACAGGGATGGTTCGAACCGTAGGTGACGAAGAGGTCAAAATCTATATATATTTAACTTCTGCATAAGGTATAAAAAGGAGGTTCTAACTGGAGGTTGGGTAGACTATAGATCTCGTAAGTATGGTCTATAAGTGGCCCCTGTACGGGCCCCTTGCCTTAAGGTTGAATTGGACTTCTAATCCGATATTAACTATCTCTCTTTTTTATTACTTAATTACGGTGGTTAAAAATGTAATTTGATCTCGGGCTCTTTTGCCGAGGCTACCCCTTTTTTTTTCTTTTTTTGCTCTTTACGGGTTACTTATCCTTTTATTTATATCGTTACCCTTTTTTTACTGATGAAGTACTCGAGCCCCTTATTAGGTATTGTTTTTATGCAAGTATCTGCTAGATTATCGTCCTTGTTAATCTAATAGATCTTAAGGATCTTATAGCGCTTATACGATTACCGGAGGGCTATAATGTCTATTATTAGCCTCTTCTCTTTCGTGGTACCTAGTTTGACGAGGCACTTATATAGCAAGTATAAATTAATATAAACGATTATCGGTATTATGGGGATATTAAGTCGATTAGTAATCCTCTTTAGCGTTATTAAAATTGTATATACGATGTCGATGCCGTTAACTATACTATAAACCTTTAAAGCGAGTATATTTTGTGTGACCCTTTTGCTCTTTATTGATAAGTAATAGATAATATTATTGCGGATCGTAAAGTTTTTCTTTCCTATTACCTCGTTAATAAGGATTATTATATATCTTAATTACGATATAAGGTTGTTATTATTTACGAATAAGCCATTAATGAATACGTAAAATTTTGCCTCCCTTAGGTCGATAGGTTAGTATATGAGCCCCTTATCGAGGTTTATTTACTACTACTATAGCCGTCAGTTAAGGGTGTCGAAGTTACGTTCTATCGGCGAAGTGGCCTATACTGCCCTTATATAATCGAAAGTGGCCTCTAGCTAATAGATATTTATAATATAAGCTCTTTATACGAGCTCTATTTTATACCGCTTTTAGTAGTCGGTTGCCCTTAAGTCGATAAGGGTAATCTTTTCGCTTTACCCCTTCTATTAAAAGACGATATTCTTGCCCTCGATCGTAAGGATCTTACTATTAAATATAAATAGTATATCCTCTATAAGGATCTCTTTTAACTTAGCAGTAAACTTTACTTTTTCTAACTCCTTATCCTCTTTCTTTATAAAGGCCGTATTAAAAAGCCCTAATGTATTATCGGTTTATATTCTAACGATTCTAAATAGATCGTCTATATATACGGAAACTAAGAAGTAAGGATTATATATCGATATAATTATCGAGAGTTTATCGATATAGAAATCATAGTATATTACCTATTAATAAGTACCTAATTCTATAAGGCCGTAAAGTGGCTTTAGTACTTTAATAATCGTATTATCCGGGTATTTATTTACTATCTCC